TAATGCCTGTTTTTTTTTTTTTTTTTTTTAAATTCAACTTGGAGAAAAAAGAAAAGGAGCACCATAAGCAGATGGAATGCTAGGCAGACTGCTTTACTCTCTCCTGACCTGGTGGGCTCTCTGGCCTCCCATGGTTTTTCTTACACTTACTCAGCGCTTCACAGGGGAGGGTGGGTGTGTGAATATGGACTCCATCCTCGAATCAGACCTTGAGACTGCTTATAAAGCTTTTTCTGGCCATCTTAGATGATAGTGATTTCCTTCTCCTTCCCCACCTCATCTGAACATCTAAAGTAGTAAATATCTATATGACTAATTGGTCAACTAATTTTATATTGATTTGTGGTGTCTGCTGTTGTGTGGTTTTGTTTCTAATGTTTTAGATACTTTTAGGGCTAGCAACTGTTTCGTAGGCTTTTTTGTACCCTTGCCAGCATGTCTTAAGTAAGTACCCAAGGACGTTTCACTGAAAAAAAAATCTCATAATGATTTTCCACTAGGGCATGTACAGGGAGTATATTTTCTTCATAGTTGAGAAGTTACCAATTAACGACTGTCAAGAGAATTTCCTGGGGTGCTGATCTTTTACAGGGCCTATAGTACAGAGCCCTTTGGTGGCATCACAGATTCAAAGCTGCGTGTGTGACTGGCTTGCACACAGTGTGAATCCCAGGCCAGGCAGTTCAGTCTGTCTCTGGGCCCAATGTTTTTGTTCATGTGGGTCAGCTTTTCTGCTTGCATATTTGGGATCTAATGTGTATGCTTCCTTCTATCCACACTCAGAATACTGACTCTTGACAGTGAGTTCAATCTTGAATTGAATGAATATTGTGTAGTTTTTGCTAATGATGTGGGTAAAGATATTGGACTCTAATAGGTGAGGGATTTATTCCTTTAAGTTTGATGAATTTTCTTCCTGTATCTTTTTTAAAAACTGCTTTTATTAAGTATTGAGAGATATAAAAGAATATTAAAAATGTATAAATTTAAAAGTATAAGAAATAATACAAATCTTCATATCTCCCCCACAAATTTAAGAAACATTGACATCTGTGCTGATCAATGGTAACTGCTACTCTGAATTTTGTTTATCATTTCTTTCATCGTTTTATCACATAATTTTATCTATAAAATTACATTGTTCAGTTTAACATGCTTTTCAACATATATAAATGGAATCATACCAGATATCTTTGCAATTTGCTTTTTTGACTCAATGTTATGATCTTGAGATTCATCCATGTTGTATGTACCGATGATTTATTTATTTACACTCCTATATAGAATGCCATCATATTTATATACAACTTACTCATTTTACTGTGGATGAACATTAGAGTTGTTTCCAGCTTTTTGCTATTAGAGACAGTGCTGCTGTAAGCATTCTTGCACAGATCTCCTGATACCGTGCACTGTGCTGGAGCTTCTGCAGGGGATATGCCCAGGATTCAAGTTGCTGGGTCATAGGGTATGGGCCTATTTAATTTTGCTAGATTATGCCAAAATGTTTTCCAAAGTTGCTGAACTAATATACACT